TGCAATAAAAAAAAAAAAAAACGACTTACAACGTGTATACAATTGTATATTGTACATTGTGTCTACTGATAGTTGGTATTACCTGTTAGTTTTGACCTCCTTTCCGCAACCACTATTAGTAGCAGTAGTAGTAGTAGCAGCTGAGTATACCTATTAAGCCGGTTTTGCCAAAAAATTTTTTCAAAATAATCAAATAAACAATCACTACTACAACCGTCAATTCAATTAGAACTCTTTACGTTAGACGCTTGAATTAACAACGTAGCAAACGAGAAGAAAAACGAAACGACAACAAAAATAAATTATTTTTTGAAAAACAAGAAAAAGCACACATATACACATTTATATATATATATATACATATACATGTATAGGTATATGCATGAAAAGGCCAATTGAAAGAGCATCGCGTCCGCATTGTTATGAATGAATGATTTATTTAATAACTACCGTTAAGCATACGGTTTCAATATCACCCAAGTACCTAAGAACTATAGTAAGTACCCAATTACAATGTGTCCATATATACATATATAAATATATATATATATATATATATATATATATATAGATAAGTGCACTTTTGTTGCCATGACTTTGCATATTTACTTAATGGCTTGTTGAGTTTTACGTAGTTGTTACCGCTAGTTTTATGTTTTCATAAGCATATACATAATTTAGACATTTTAGGACTAGTTGTTTGTTTGACAAAGCAGCTATTAAAGTATTAAACACTACTCGATTATAGTTTATAGCATACAATAGGCATACGCATATGTATATGTATATCAGATGTCCGAAGTCAGTGACAGGCAGAATTTTAAAATATTAAAAGGAAACATTTTTTTGGATTTTAAGAAGCAAAAAAAAAAAAAAAAGAAAAATTCCGGAAAACTCATAATATCACTTAAGTTAGATTACGTTTTAAACTTTAATGCTTAACTCAAAACTATTTATAATGGATTTCCTGTTAATGGCATAGATCTTAAGGTTCGATAATGTCAAGAATCTTGTAGAGAATTTAGAGATTTCGTTTATTTTAGGCACTTTGGTGATAGCAAACGAAAATGTGCAAAAAATTTTCCATAAAAATTTTTTTTTTTAAAAATAAGCAAAAATTTTTTTTTATTTTTTTTTTTTTCTCCTTTTTCACTTTAACCAAACTAATCATTTATTGACATAATTGCAATGATTTCAAGTGAATCGTTTTGACGAAAACATTGAAAACACTCTCAGTGTAAATCTCATATTGTAGATCGCATCGTATCTCTTTACATTTATTACTAAACGGAATTATTAATGATTTTGTAGTGCTAAAGGTATGCAAATACATATCTTTATGCATAATAACTGTTCTTTTGTATCGATTAAATTTTAAATAAAAAAATATACAAATCATTATAAACTCATCAGTGAAGAAAAAAAACAAAACGGTACCCAATGAACGTTGATGGATAGTTTTCAGCAGTTTTTAAAGCATCAGCAATTATTTTATCAATCAATCTTCCAATGCTAAGCTTATCTATCAATCATCTCTCATTCTATACCTGTTGCACTTTTCAAGCACTTTTCCATAATCCTAGGTTTACTTTATGAACAAAATCTGTTTTATCCAAACTCTCAGTATTCGATTGGATGATTAATTTTGATAATCAAGTATTTTTTTCATTTGATTTGATTACATAACAGAAGCTTAGCTATATACGGTTGTCAAATATCAAACCTAGAAATTCTTGTTCAATCCCGTTTCCGTTCGTCTTCTCAGCTCTATCCTATAACAAGCCATTATATCGCAAATTTTAAAATTTTTTTTTTTCAAAGAGGTTTGTTCTTGTGATTTTGATGAATAGGGAAGAAAGGACATGATCTGTAAAAAATATGGATCTGTTCAAAGATCATAGATTTTGTGAAATGAGTCTGGCCTAAGTGAAAATCTGCTATTAATAAATATCAACTCTGTTAGAAGTTTCGAAGATTCTCCCTTAACAAGAGACCAATTGCAATAAAGTAATAAATTTAATTATCCGATCATTGGAACATTGAAAACATGACGCGACTAGCAATAGGCAAAGATTGCATTACCAAAATTTTTCGCAAAGGCCATCAGCGTTAAAATTCTTTCCCAACATTCGTCTTAATAAGACTCAACAAAGAAAGGGCAGATCCAACGGATTTTAAAAAATTTTTATTTTTTCTTAGCCTTTCAAGACCCTATTCATCCCTTAAAAACGCTACTGACTGCATATAAAAGACGATTAAAGCGCTTTTTCCTCTTTTATTATTGTTTTGTCTTGTACACTTGTCTTCCTATAACATTTTTTACGATTGTAACCTTAAAATTTGTCTGTATTTAAAATTAAATGGCCTTGTGTTACATTTTGTTTTTTTTTTTTTTTTTTTTTTTTTCTTTTGTTTAATGAACATTTAATTGTATCAGGAAACGAATTATTTAGCATTTGAACAAAAATTAAAGCAACAACATTGAAATATTTTTCAAAATATGAAATATTTGGTTTTGAACAATGGATGAGTGCAAGTATGCCTGCTTTTTTGTTTATATAGCGTTTCCCTCAAGTATATGAATACAAGAGTTGACATGTTTTTAGTGCTCTGCTGATTTTATGGGTATACGGTCAAAATATCTACGCAAAGCTTTAGAGTTGGGTAGCAATTACTAAAAGAAAGGTCACTAATTATTTAGGAGCAATAATCAGAAATTGGGTTAGTAGTAGATCCATTAAAATGTTACAGTCGTAGCTCATAGCTCCACTTTTCGTAAAATATTTCGTTTTTTTCTTCTTTTGAAGGCAACTTTTCAATCATCACAAATCTATGTTACCCAGGGATTGTAGGTAGATGTCACACGCTGCAAAAAATATTGAAATAATGACAATTAAAAAAGTAAAAAAAAATCGGAAAAATTATTCTCGATTATCAAAAAGCAAAGTTGCATTAGATTGCTGACATCGTAAAGGTTTCAAAATGGTGCATACATCGCACTAAGAAAGGAAACTGTTTCCCAAATGGATACCAATTTTATTTACAGGGACATAAAAACATCGGGCATGGAATTATTATTAATCATAATGAAAAAAGTTTTTTCGTACGTTACGTAACAATAAACGAAATGTTGGCCCATCAATGCGCTCCTGGATGAAATCGATAACCACTTGAGTGGGAAAGACGGGGTGAGAGTCTGGTAAAGCTATCAAAAAAAAACAATCGGCCGGCATGGCTATGGTTTCCATATTTTGGGTTGCACAAGATATTGTGTTCACCGAAGACTTTCAAAGTAAACGAAGAACGATGGAAAAAGAAAATTATCAAAAACCGACCTTACGTTGCGAAGGAAGAAGTGATATTACGGCCATTGGACCATAATGCATGAATTGAATTTAAAATTTCTGGCTCACTTGTCACTCCAGATGCGACCCGCAGAGACTTCTATCTGTTTAGAAATCTCAAAAGGGGAATGAATTTAGGTCGAATGATGAACTAATCGCGGAAATTGAAGTGAATTTTAAGGATTGAAGGCTTCAAAACGTTAGAGAAGCACTAGGAGTGATTGTGTCACGTTTGGAAGAGACTTTGATTAGTAACTAAAGCCGAAATTTGCGAAAAAAAAGTTTTGTTTATTTAGTTCCGGAACTTATTGATCGCAGACTTACTTTTTTTTTTTCTTTTTTTCTCCATTTCTTTTTACTGCGCAACGATTTTTCTTTGATTTTCGATTTCTGCCAAAAACAGTCATTCCCAATTTTATACGAATGATATTCGGTATCCTATATATAAACTAATTTTTCGATTTTGCATAAATTTACAAAGATAATAATACTAAGAAATTAAATATATTGGTCTTACTTTATGAACACACCAGCAAGATAAAGCGATTTGACAAATCGAGTTTACATAAAAATTAAGTCGTACACTGCGCCTTATGCAAAATCGGATTGTTTCGAAAACTTTTAATTGAACGATTAAAGCTTTGCTTATACAAATCATCATCGAAAAAAAAAAACCTTTTGCAATAGTTTATTACCAAGACAAACAAGCAGTTACTTCCGGACAGCATTCAATTGCTTGATAGTGAAAAGTATATCACTTCTTAGAAACAATTTATATAAAAACAGAAAAGATTTTCTCATAATTAAATTTCAAATCAGATATTAAAGCTTGCATGCACGCAATCTGACAATCTGTACTACACTAACATACACCTAACGTACACCTAAACAAGGTAAACTTAACTTATATATGCTTAATCATCGTATCAAATGCAAAGGGAAAAATGGAAAAATTCCAGAAAAAAGAAAATATTTTTATAAAACACAGAAAACTTTCGTTATTAATCACACAAACTGCTTCTAAATTAACACAAGTAAAGTACAATTTTCGATTAAAGAGGGACATGTCAAATAGATGATCCATAATTTTATCATGGCGTGTTACATATCCCCTTCTTTTTTTTTTTTGGTTTCGTGTTACAAGCCGCTTAGAAAGGCTTACCAGAAAGTTCAAGGTCAAAGCAATTTATTCAAAACCTTTGTAGGCTTTGCTTAATCTTAACTAGCTCTTAAATGTAATCATCTATTATTCCTTAACGAGGTGCACTTAGTGGGCTTAAAGTCATTGTTTATACTACTGGTTTAGGCTTTTAGCTATAGGCTTGATAGATATTTGCATACACTTTTAACCATTGCTTTCTTCTTATTTCGGGGTAGCCCTTATGCATCATTTACGCTCACTTTAATTTAGATTAAAATTTTTGGCAATTTCGCAACACTTGAAAAAAGTCAGACAAGATGGAAACGATTAATGGAAATTAAAATTTAATGCAAATTGGAAATAATTTCTTATTATAAAAAGCTTCTTATCTATTGTGGCGATGATGGTGTTGGTTGGTGGTGGTGATTATGGGTTGTGGTGCGTGTAAAAGCCATTTTCAAATGAAACAATTCAAATTTTCAATCATTTTTTTATTTATTTTTCATACATTCCAGGCACAATTTGTTCTATGCATTGTGCACACTGCACGTGCGCTATTCAGCCAGCAGTGTCAATTTTCCAAATTCATTTCGGCTTTTCTTTTATTGAATGCCAGCATTTTCTTCTGTCTATTCATGAATTTCTATATACAAGCGTATAAGAAGAAAGGTAAAGGCAAACAATCAAACAATCAAGCAGCAATAATTACTACGGACCAAAGAAATTATTTTATGCAACAAAAGAAATTCATTGAAATGAATAACAATAATAATAACGAAGAAGTGATACCGGTATTGAAAGAGAAAATCTATTAAATTTTCATGAAATTTATAACATCTAAGAATAGATTATTCCGGGGACCAAAAATGTTGTAAATTCAATTCAAAAAAAAAAAACAAAAAAAAACAAATCCATTTTAACTTTAAAATGGTAAGAATCTCTTGTAATGAGATTCTCTTGTATATGATGTACAAAAATATGTATGTTTTAAATATTAATATTAAGTTTATTTAGTAAATATTTCAATTCATTAGTATTTATTAACAAATAAGAAATATAAGTTCGCCTTCAAGCGAGTCAAGCGAGACCCTTTGTCTGAAGTCAATATTATAGGTTGAGCACAAGCATCTGTGGATCGATTGAGGCTATCCTTGTAAATAATATTTACATAATATTACATAAGTCACATGCGACATTTTAAATCCACACTTATTACAAAATGCAAGCAAAATGACAATAATTTTTTAAAAATTCTGAACGTCTGAACGCCTTTTATCTAAATATTTTTACTATTGGAAAAATCGAAATATTGAAAACTTGAATTAGAGTAGAGAGTAAAGCTACTAGCACTTATGTAGATAAACAAAATTATCAAAGGTGTAAAACAATGAATGGATAGATGTATAAACGACAAACGAAACGTCTAGGCCGACATATGCATGAAACACTGGACGAAGAGGCAACTTGTACATCTGAAAGAGCAAAAAAGATGGATGTTATAGAGGAAACAACAACAGGGCAGATGTATGAAAAGATCAGATGGATTAGACCGAATGACTAAAGAGTCTAGAGGCGAACAAATCAATTAAGTGGATAAACGAACGAACAGTCTACGTAGATGATCAAATCAATATACGTGCAAGAAACGAATAAACAAATTTTGACGAGCCATCTTGACGTATAGATAGAAAAAAGGATAAGTAAATCTATCCATGAGCTAACGAGTTCATACAGAAGACAGAGAAGCATTCCGGTAAATAAGGCTACTCCAACTCAACTCCATTCAAACACACATTTATTTGTATTCTCTGTAAAGACTGTACCTTGTATTATTTGGTATTACAAACTGAATGACTAAGCATGCTTCTGCAGTGGCTATAAAAATTTGCAAAAAATGCAATAAAGAATGGATAAAGAGATTTGTGTAAAATGCAATTTTATACACAAAAATTATTGTAAATATTTAGTTAAATAATAACCTAAACGTTATTGCACACAAAACAGAGAGGAATAAAGAAATCATAAACTTAAACTAGTCTTAGTAATCAATCGCAGATATAATAATTGTATATATATATATCGAATTTAAATATTCTTACTTAATGATTAAATTATATGTATAGATAATGCGGATGTGAATCGAAAGCTTTGGTGTACAATTATAAATATTAAGTGTCTATGAAAATAAGTGGTATTATATCAATTTTTTTACAGTGTACAATGTACACATAACGAATTTTTTAGTTAATAAAAAAAAATAAAAAAAATGCTGAGACAAAAAAAGTGCATGCGTTTGACTGACAACTCGTCAACAATAATTTGTGCTTTCATTTTTGAAACAAGACTCTCCGATTTTATAATGTAGTGATATAATAATGGCCCGTGGTGTGCCTAAAAAGCACTTTTTTTGGCTTTGTGAGAAGCAGAAATGGCAGAATTAATTATTCGAAGAGATAACCTTATTACACTCATCGTAGGATTTCACAAATGCTTCTAACCACGAAAGTAAATGATTACGTGTATTAGGCAAAGTAACGTAAGGTATTTAATGGTTGCCTTACCCAAGTGTAATTTTTTACTTATTAATTATTGTGATTGATTTTTTATCTCATTCAATTTTTTATAACTGTTTTTATCAGTTGTTTTTTTTTTTTCATTTTCTCTACCACTTAATAGTTAACTGATTTGCTGTTAATTTTTTTATTTAAAAAAGATCTGGAATCATGTTTCCATAGATGCTATAAATAAAAAATGGTTTAATTGATTTCCAACCCAAAACGAATAAGCTTTGTTGCGAAGAATACTCTGGTATTGACAATTATTTTACACGTCAGCAAAGATTGCTACACAACCAAACATTTTTTTATAACTCAATTGCATTTCGCATAGAGCAACTGTAATAGACTTCTATATATGCGTCCTCAGATTTTGACAGAACGTCCAAAACTATATTGAAATGGCTGTCTTTCGAATCAAGTCATAATTTCAAACAAGCATAGAATCGAGTGTAATAAAGAAGGGCCTATCTTAAGCTCTTCAGGATGTTACATATGCTTGCACAAACTTAATACACGCTATGTAACAATCGATATAGGGTACAATGACTTAAATGGAAAAACTTATAAAAATACGATTTGAAAACAGTTTGAAATTTATTAGGATGCTACTTCTGTCTTATAGTCATGTACAATTTAACTATAAATCATAATTTTTTGTAGTTTTATATCGGTTTCAAAAGAAACGTGCTATAAATACAAACAAAATTCATTTATACCGGAATATAAAAAGCCTGCCTTGTTTTTAAGGTTTTTTTTTCATTTAAACAGAGAATCACTATTTTCTTTGTTTGTAAAATGATTTATAAAACTACAAAAACTCATTTTTCATGTCTATTAACAATTTAATGCTCTTATTGTTATTGCAATATGACGCGAATCTTATGCAATAAAAATTTCATACATTTGAAAATTTAAAAAGTGTTATGGTATTACCATTTCAAAGTAATTGTTCTCTGCATTCTGTAATGTAAAAAGTAACACAAAGGAATTAGACTAAAAATGTTAAATAAAGTTAATGAGTTAATCAAAAGTTATTTAGAGAGATGAAAGGAATACATACATTGTATGTGCTAATCTTCTTTCTACTTTTCAAATAATGATAATTTATTTCGTTGAATTGCAAAATAACAATTATTTTATTTCCTTCCATATACATACAACATTTTACAACAATTACTTTATTGCCTTCCATCTTTTTTTACCTTAATTCTATATTGAGATGGTAACATTTTATTTATATTAAGCGGTAAGATACAGTGAGACTATATAGTTTTTTCTCTTTTTGAAGTAAAACATTAAATAACTAAATAATTGAGAATTACGTTTTCTCATTATTGCAAGCCAAATTTTTTATTGGCAAGCATTTTTTTGCAATGTAATAACAACGTAAATCACAACTCAGCTGACTGATGCGAAATTTTCACGAAAGTACAAAAAAATTCATCTTTGAGTACAAAAAAAATTCGTTATCAACTTGTGAAAATAATGTACATCGCGGAACATGTAACACACATGCAAAGTAAATCTGGCAACGCTCAAAATAAAATGTAATCTGTGTGTCTTAATGAAAATTTCGCTAACAATTTTTAACATAGAAAAATTTGAGTGTTTTTCTAAATATATATAAAAATCAAAATTAATACACAACAACAATTCCGCAAACAACGAGGAAAACTTCCAAATGACTGTGACCAGCACCCATGTGACAATGGAAGTACAAGTGAAAGCTCACCAGCCCGCCAACCACCAGGATCCAAATAATAGCGCTCAATTAACGGTCAGTGCATCGCCCTCGTTCATGAAAGAGCACAACAAACATGTCCAACAGCCTGATAATGAAATGGAAAATATAGTAAAAGCCGCTGGCGGCAATACGACTGTACTTTTGGCAAATAAAAACTTCCATTTAGAAACCCCATCAGATAAAGGTGAAACTGATATAAATCACGAAAGCGGCGCAGCATTTGTGACTGGCCAGGAGGCTATCAATGTATTGCATGAACAACATCTTCATCATCAGGTAACATGGTTAAATGATGATGAAATTGATACGCTCGATTTGGCTACATTGGACATTGGTAACATGTTTAATCGTGTGGACAGTGCTGAGATTATATATCAACAAAAAAAGAAAAACATTAAAATGGTGGGTAAATATGTAATGGGTGATGTATTGGGCGAAGGATCATACGGTAAAGTGAAAGAGGTTCTAGACTCGGAAAACCTATGCCGACGTGCAGTAAAAATTCTGACGAAACGAAAATTAAGACGTATTCCCAATGGGGAACAAAATGTACAACGAGAAATTCTACTGCTTAAGCAATTAAAGCACAAAAACGTCGTCGCTTTATTAGATGTATTGTATAACGATGAGAAACAGAAAATGTATTTGATTATGGAATACTGTGTGGGAGGATTGCAGGTTCGATTTAAATTAAATATATGCATTATGAGTATTGAATTGATTATATAAATTATATAGGAAATGCTTGATAGTGCTCCTCAGAAGAAAATGCCCCTGTTTCAGGCACATCGTTATTTTCGTCAACTAATAAACGGCCTCGAGTACCTGCACAGCATGCGTGTTATACACAAAGATATAAAACCAGGCAATCTATTACTAACGCTACATGAAACGCTTAAAATTTCTGATTTTGGCGTAGCCGAACAGTTGGAACTATTTGCAGCGAATGACATATGTTTAACTGGGCATGGGTCTCCCGCATTTCAACCGCCTGAAATTGCTAATGGCTTCGAAGCATTTTCGGGTTCCAAAGTTGATATATGGAGTAGCGGTGTAACACTGTATGCCGATAATTATTGATTAAAATCTAAACAAACAAAAAAAAGAAATAGAGCTCAGTAAACGTTAATTTATTTTAGTTATAATCTGTGCACGGGCTTGTATCCATTTGAGGGAGACAATATTTACCGTTTATTAGAAAATATTGGACGGGGACAATGGCAGACACCTGATTGGCTGTATAAATTAGATGAACATCTCGCTACATTAATACTGGGAATGCTGCAATTTGATCCAGATAAACGTTACACAATACAACAGATTAGACAAGATTCGTAAGTTGCATTAGGGACAGAAATATTGCATTAAAAGACAATTTTTTAACGTCCAGCTGGTTTATGTCGGCTCCGGAAGAAAAGGGCCCACCTATACCCATTCCACCATTAAAAAATGACAAATATCGTCGTTCCACAGTACTGCCTTATTTGGATGCTTACCATTATGAAGCTGAACGTGATTTAGAAGAAGTCTACTTTACCGAACATGATTTAAATCGTGTGTATATTAGAAAATTTAAGTATACAATTTTTACCTTTAACAACATTTATCTCTTCTTAAAAAAATAAAAAAAAAAAAACAGAGGAATTAGCACGCAAAGCCGCAGCTGCCGCTGCTGAAATTAAAGCTCAACATCAGCAACAACACACCCTCACCGGTCCTTCCACAACAACAACTTTGCAACAACACACGGCAGCTTCATGTTCGAATTCAGCTTCTCATCATACCAAAGAGAAGAAGTCATCGTCACTGAAAAGACGCGCCAAAAAATTGACATCATGCATTTCCGTACGTAAATTATCAAATTGTCGACCTTCTTAGATCTTAGAAGATTAACCATGACCATCATCATCATCATTCAGTCAACCAAAACAATAACATTCAGTCTATATATACATACTTTTGTAAATCTTTCTACTACTATTATTATTGTTTTTACTCCAAGGAGTTTTATTAATCGCAAAATTTTGAAATATATATCCGCATATGTGAAAATTTTTCGAGGTCAAGTAAAGAAACGAAAGAAAACCAGTATGAATAATTAAACAAAAAAAAAAAAATATATATATATATATATATATATATATAAAACAATAGCAATTTATGTATAAAAGAAAAAAAAACAAATAATGTTTAATGTTCAAATAGATGTTATGTAATCTTGAATAGTAGATTCATCTGCTGCGGCTTGTAAGGGAAAATGTGTGCGGTTTATTTTAATTTTAATATTTCCTTAGCTCGCAAAACGAACACAATTTGTACACAAATAACCGCGTAGACGACACATGACTTGTCATAACAGTTCTTTTGGTTAGTCATTAGACAAATATATTGAAGAAAAAAACTGTGTTTTAAGTACATATATCGAAGGGAATTTAGTAAAAAAATGTATGATGAGCGCAATTAGTCATATAGTTGTTAATTGAAAGTCAATAGAGCGGGCATGATTGAGATCAGGCTTGTGCAACCTTTTATAACATTTTAAATTGTAGGTAATTTTTTGTTTTTTAATAGGAGTAGATTTGTAAATAATTTCATGCTTTGCGTTGGGTAAATATAAATTTTTTATTCAATTTTCGATTCAATCAAGATTTAATGGGTTAACTTTTACGGGCCAAATGTGCCATTTTTGTTTTCTTTGATTAAGTTTCGCGCCTTCTGACAGTAGTTACTTATTCATTTTGCTGAGACTTATTACTTTATTGTTAACAAAAGTTTTCTTCATTAAACCAAACACTTCGAACGTTTCACTTTTCTTAGTCTATCAAATGCTTTAGCCAAAAATTCATAAAGCAACAACAAGAATTCCTAGAAAGTGGAAACATAATTTTAATTTGATTCTATGTTTTTATTAATCGATTGGGACTTCAAAAAGAAGATGCGAATATATATGCATTGGAATTGGGTAGAATTGAACGAGGACCAATGCTGCATTAGCACTTTTTATATATTTTCCTTTCAAATTAATTCAACTTAGGGCACATCCCTTCTTTCGAGGACTTTCTTCTTCTTTCTTTAGAAGCTTTTCATTGTATTCATAATTTCAAATTAAATCAAGGAATTCGTTTTTCCTCTAGTTACATGTAAGCTTATACTTGAATTAATAGCGAATATTTATCCATTTTTCAAGCAACGAAACCGACAAAAAGTGTTAAAAAAGAATCTTCTTGCATAATAATTACAAATGAAAAACCCGGAAAAGTACTTTTTATACCTTCTGAAGTTTAAAAAGACACATTTGTTGCTTGAACTACAAAACAAATTCATTTAATTTGTTGTGCAGCAAGTTATTGTCTACGCATTTTTCATTTAAATTGTTTAAATAAAGCGGGACAGTGTCCTCCAAAATTAGTACCGTTCGCATAGATGTGTGAAGCGGCTTCATGTGTTATAAAGGTTAAAAAAGAACAATGTGTCGTATCATACATCATACGAGAATTTTTTGCATTATGAAGGATTTCAGGGCCCTGCTGATCACTTATAAGATACAATCGCTTAATTAACATCCTTACGTTTAACAATTTTTGCGATGATAAATATTAAACAAAGATGTTTGGTTTATTATAAAAGAAGTATGAAATTTTTATGTACAATTTTTCATTTAGTAGACAAATTTTAGGAAGTTTGAAATTACACATTAAAACAAGATTAATTACACATAGTTTTCATGTTTTATCTATCGTAAAGAAAGATTCCTATGTAGCTCTAGGAATTAAAAAAAAAAAAAGGGGCGCAAGAAAGCAAAGACGCGGTGGGTATCAATAGATATCAAAGGTGAATTTTTTTTTTTTTATTTTAGTTAAGTAGCAGATTTTATCAGACTTTTCGCTGCGTTTTTCTTTTATTTTTATTTTTCTTTTTTGCATCAACGTACAGTTGACGGCTTTCATATCGGATCATGACGTGGGACGGACATGTTTTATTACATAACAACATTTCTATTGTATATATTAATTATGGAATAACAACTTTTCAATTGTATATTGATATGCAAAGACGACGTAAACAAGCAGAATAGCAAATGATCTTAATTAGCTTTTTTAAATATCATTAAATGAAGAAAAAAAAAAAAACTAATATATATATGAAATTTAGTTTTTTAAATTGTTCTATTAATGAGATTAATCAAACGGCGAACGGTAGCGAAATTTTATTCACATGTTATGAACTCATTTCCACGTCTTTACTTGTCTCATTTGGAGCATCTACAGTCAAACTAGTTGAAGAAACCAATGCTAACGATTGATTTGGTAGCGTTGGACTTTGTTGTTCGGGCATAATGAACATGGTGTAATAATGTTGACCTAATTTTGACAATTTTTTTTGCATTAAATTGCGCAAAGTATCAACGTATTGCGGTGGAATTTTATTTATTTGAGGATTACGCCATTGCAAGCCATTACTATCCACGTGAAACAAAGCCGGCGAAGGTACATGATCCTTCAGATAATTCCAAACGCATTCTTTTAATATTAAAGCAATCTATCAAGACAAGAGATAACATTGAGAGATTCTTCATTTTACATATAAGTGAAAAAACTTACCTCCGGTGGATCGAAATGATGTATGATAACGTGCAAATTTGAGAGAGGTGGTGGCAACAGTTGTCCTATAGCTAATATTCGTAACAACTTCTTAGTGCATTTCATTAATTCATCGTTAATATCAACCAATTGATATTTGTTGACTATTTAAAGATTTAAAAAAAAAATTCTCAAAGTTTTATAAATAAACAAATATTTCTAAAACATTTCTACTTAAATTTTTACAATCTTCCAAAAAATATTAAAACGTTTGTCATAGGGAAAGAAAGTCGTATGCAAATATCAATATCGAGCAATCCCATGAAATAGTCTTTTGTATTTCAAAATAATGTTAATTTGAAAATGCAAAACATTTTTATAGAAAAAAAATTATCCCAAAAGTGTAAAATCAAGCCTAATTTAAGCCAGTAAACAGAAAAAAGCCCGAACAAGCTGTTGAAAGTACACATTATGGGTTGTCATTATCTTTTCCATTCTAATGCTGTCAACAGTTATCCAAAAGTAAAAAAAGGACAAAACAAAATATACCGTTCTTTGCGCGCCATTGATGTAAACACGTAGCACATAAGGCTCTCAATAATACTGAGGAAAAGCATAATGCTGGTCGATGACTGGCTATGAAACCGAGCAAAGCCCACAATAATGGTGACGTTATAAAAGCCCTACGTATCAGTAAATCTCGTTCCATAGTTACTTTCGTAAAATCTTCATCAGGAAACGGTAAACCATTATACATAACATCTGTTGATACCAATTCCACCAAAAGTAATGATATCGTTGAATAAGCTTCTATTACTAAAGGACGTTCCTGTAAAAAAAAAGGAAATCGACTAAAACTTTACTCGACTTTAAAAGTGTTTATCTTGTCTACCACATCACTGCAACAAACATCCAAAGCTTTTATAAACAAATTTTGCATCTCCGAGGGGCACGTCTCGCCTGTACACATATTTTCAGGTCTTAAACCACGACCAATTACGCCAGCATGCAATACGGTACGATTGGCATTGGGACCTAAGCTTTGGCGTTGATTTTGTAATAGAACCATTTCGGTCTCTGGTATTTGTAATTCATCCATCAAAGGTTCTTCAAATTGCCCGAAAAGGTAACCATAATAGAACAAAGCACCTTCGATTAGTTCGCGTAAACAAGCTGTACGGCAGGCTTTACGCGCTCTACATTGTCGTTGAAATAAAACGTAAACACGATTTACGGCAGCCGAACGCTGAGTAGAACCTAAAAATTCAATCAATTATTTAGTCAATAATGTTTGTGCAAAATTAAATTTTAATATTTTACTATACATACTTCGCTCTGTTAAACTGATGAAGAAATATTTTACACTTAAAACAGATAATTTTAAAATCTTTAAAAAAAATAAAACAAGTTTAGTTTGTATTATTTGCATTAAATCTTACATAATTAATACCTACTTCTGTAGTGCGTATGACATTGGTTTTTGAACCCGCCTCTATAGTATTTAAAAGATCTATAATCGTATGAGCTAAATTTAATCGTCTTGCATCGTAAGCTTCTTCTTCTTCCTCTTCATTCCAATCATCGCTATTTAAGCCAAGTCTCAATCTCTTATTTTTATTACCGTCAATATCGATTGTATTATTGTTAGCTTGATTTTGTTGCTCTCTATATCTGCCCATGTTCCGTTCTGATGAATCTATATCCATACGTAATATTAATTTATTTAAAGTTACCTCAAGGATTTGTAGGATTTTAGGTAGACATTCATTTAGAGCATTCATTAGTTGATGTTGTTTCATGCAGGTGTAACTATTCTTTTTCTGCATTCTGAAATGAAAAATTTTGCATTTAACATTCAACAAGTTGGATAATGCTATGAAAAAGTCACACTTAGTTAGGGTATTAAGATTCTTAAATGTATTTAATGCCTCCGAAATAACGCTAGAATTAGCCAAACGAGCCTGTTTAAATTGTTCTTGCAATAAAACATCCTCCAAAACCATTTGTAGTCCAGCCTTGATATCGGGAAATTCTACTACGCCACTTAAACCACTAAACATTCGTATTACGGCACCTAAGCCCGACGTATTAAGCACATAACATTTACGCAGCAACTCGGAAATGCTCTGATAATATATATTTGAATGTTGGCTAGCTAAGAAAACAAAAAAAAACAAAATAATTTTAAGTAAGAAAATATGTATTTCCTATGTAGTACTTACAAACAATTAAAAGTAGACGTACTGCCGTTTGTTGTTCATATATATTTGTGCTAAGACTACTTTTCCACAACATATATTTAGTATTTTCCGTTACCAAATCGTCCATTAGGGGGCACAAGCGAGCACTTAAAACTATCTGTTCTAATTCTTGCAAGGAAAATTCTAGAAAATCTTGACACCAAACATGTTGATCAGCCATTTTGGAGGCTGTTATTAAAAGCTGAGTTCCGTGACTTTTTAAACGAAGAGCAATATTATTTAAAGATGGCTGGATTTCGGAAAATGTAGCGTTGCTCAACCAAAGCGGAGATTTTTGTATAATGATGGCGCGTAACTCATCGTTATCTAAACAACGAAACAAATTTATCGCTGCAACTGGAGAATTTCATTATTCCAATTACTTACACATATCCAAAAAGACGCTAACCATATTCTGTAGTAAGACATCGGAATAATTACCGAATACAAAAAGAAATGGTATAATCAAAGTATCTAAATTCTTTTTGGGATGGAAACCTTCTTGTAACAGTTCTTTGACAACGACTCGTAGAACTTGTTCGTGAGCGAAGCACAGATATTCTAAAATACCGATTTCTGACTCGAAACGGCAATGAAAATCATCCGCAAAACGTTTCAAACTGCATTGTAGAATTTGTGAAATAATTTTCAATGGGAAGCAACCACCTAAACGTGCTACAACCCAATCAAAGGTTAAGGAGTAACGCTGGTAGGCATCTAAAATATTTAAGAATAATAATAAGAATTATTTGAGCACTTTTACAAAACAAAAACCCACTTAACAAAGTTTCCACGCAAGATTCTGCTTCCAAGTTAGTTAGTTTACGAAAACAGATGCTAATTAAAGTCAACAAGCCACGCATTGTGCCACAGCTTAGCCAGTAGTTGCAAGCTACTCCGATAGACATTTTCCGTTTAGTGTATTTATCCGATAGATTGCCGACCAAATCTAAGCTCCATGATGCGACGACCACGCCCCAAGCTCCTGGCACTTTATTGACTACATTTTCCAAAGCTTGTTGTATTACTTCAAAGCATGGATCTTCTTGAGCGCCTGGACTTTGGGCCGTTTGATTATTGCTATTTTTTGATGTCATGCTTGTCTGTTGCTCAGCAACGCAATAACCTTGCACTGCTACCTCAGCCACCAAAGAGAAGTATTCAAACACTATATCACGGGCGGCTGGTAAATCCTCTAACAAATGCAAAGAGGTTCGTATTAATGAGCTGGAAGTCAATTT